GAGATGCCAAAAATGGAAAGATAGCAGAGCAAGATGGAAGTACAATCTTACTTTTCAAGTTGTTTCTTTGCAGAATTTTTATAGTGAGGACTCTATAGGCAGCTTGCAAGCTATGCTGAACAAGTGCAATTAGGTGACAGATTGTTTTTTAAAAGTGCATTCATTTACAATGCCCCACTCAGGCATTACGATGTTTAACCCTTTTGTTAGGACAGACAGTGTGCAAGTCTGATTTACAAGTGATAATGTGATCTGCCAGCACAGTGCAGACAGGGTTAATTATGGTAAATATAACTCCCCAACCCCTCCTCAATTACATTAAAGGGGAAAGCTATGTAGGACTTATCAGCAAGTAAAAAAAGGTAAGCAGCATTTCTTTTACATTTTAAGTTATGCTATGTGAAGGGGAACAAATATAAAGTATGTGCTATCCTAATTTGGCCGCAAAAGTGGAAATCCAAATTAGGCATTTTATAGGCCAGGTCGGGTTAATTTAAATGACAAACCAAAATAAGGTCACATGGAAAAAATATAAAAACAAGTACCGTATATATCGGCGTATAAGACAGGTTTTTAGACCCAAAAACACTGTCCGAAAATCGGGGGTCGTCTTATACGCCGGGTATACTGTATGTAGCTTTGGCTACATACAGTATACCGCCCTGAGCCAATCACGGCAGGCTTTGCATTCATTAATACAGGCTTTGTATTAATGAATACAAAGCCTGTATTAATGAATACAAAGCCTGTATTAATGAATACAAAGCCTGTATTAATGAATGCAAAGCCTGCCGTGATTGGCTCAGGGCGGTATACTGTATGAAGCTGAAGGACGGAACCCGGAAGATGGAGGACGCTGTGGGGATCGTAGACAAGGTAAGAGACTGTAATCCTGAGTGTGGCTCGGGGTTACCACTTGGTACTGAAAATTAACCCCGAGCGACACTCGGGAATACCGCCATGGAGGTTAGTGGGTGCATTTAAACATTATTTTGGGCTATACTCGTCTTATACGACACGTATAGCTCAAAACCTATATTTTAACACAAAAAGTAGGGGGTCGTCTTATATGCCGGCAAATACGGTATACAAAAGGAACAAAGTAAGTTTTAAAAAGTGAACAAAAAATACAAAAAAAAAACCGTAAGAAGTTTTGTACATGTTTCTTTTCCATGTAGCCTAATATATGGAAGTTCTATTTTAATGGAATAGAGCCATCACATGAAACAACTTACTAGAATTTCAGTTGACTTTGTTAAAGGAAATTATTTTAAATTAATGTGGCTACTGAACCATTGCCATGCGGGACCTCAAAAAAATACATATATATTCCTTATAATTTTTCTCTGTGAACATTTATTTATTTAAGCTTAACTCCAAGTTCTTAATGCTAACCATACAAAAAGTCGGCAATGTTCTCTGCTAGCAGCCGAGATATTCATCCAAACACGGGCAAACATTTGTGTATGTTGAATAAGCATTCGCTGTCAGTGGGAGCATGTTAACCCATCTTTTGCTGAGCCAAAGGTTGGAATTAGGTCTACAACACTTCAGAGACAGAAGGTAAGACTGTTCTTTGGAATAGAGAGGAGATTTGCAGAAGAGAAATAATTTAAAAAAACAGCAAAATATTACTAGCCCAGATCAGGGATTAACCCCTTTTTTTCCCTGAGCCCAACCTCTCATAGTCTGTCCAACAGCAAGAATCACATTTGACAAAGTGACATAAAGCCATATAAAAAATATGGGCACTGATAGGAAATTACCTATGTGACAAAAAACCTGATAACATTTACAACTGTATGATGATGTAGATGTACAAATGTATGAAGAGGTGGAGTGACTACAATTGTTAACAGAAACTTAAATAACTACAAGTGTGGATGTCAATTTAAGGTATGGAGAGAAAAAAAAGGAGGGTTTCACAGAGTGTTTTCCAAAAATGATTTTTTTGTTATTTTAGGAATTAACATCCTATCTGTAACACGTACAATATGCAGAAATTATTTTCATATTTGAAGTAAACATGTCAGTAAACCTGACTAGTTCAAACTGCACACAAGATTATTAAATCCATGGGAAAAGCTTAATTTCAGTGAAAACTAAATGTCAAAATGATCAGTAGATTCAGAGCTATGACATGCTAAAAATGCATGCAGACCTGGACTTTTCCTGTACACTATTTTAATGAAATCCCACTTATATTAGGTTGACAAATGAATACAAAAATAATCCTTTTCCCACTTTTAATTTAATCTGTTAATAAAATCGTATTATTTGTCAATACTGTAATTGTATCTAAATACTACAGTATTAAACAGATATGCTGGCATTTCAGGACATATGAACATATACATATTTAGATTTTTTCTTTCTTTCACTCACCCAGATTTGTGACAAAATAAATACAAAAATCATTTTTAGTATGGTGAATCTGAATTATTGCATATTAACATTTCATATTCTATTTTAACCAGCATATGGTGCTTTAACCATCCTTTACACCTTTTCCTAATTCATTTTTCTTGCAAAAAGCCGATTGTTTGCAGAGTTTAGTAACTCAAGCTAAAATTTACCTATGTAAGAGTAAGATTTAGAGAAGTGATTCTTCCCCTTCACTCTGTATAACCCTAGGTGACATCTACAAGAGGGAGATCCTGCCTGTGCTCTCCTTTTAGAAAACCCATAGTGCTCTGGAAATCCACTACCACGTGCTAAATAGTTATTTCTGAGACAAGAATTGTATATACAGGTAACTAGCTCTATGGGGATGCTGACTTCATTTTCCAGCAGGACTTGGCACCTGCCCACACTGCCAAAAGCACCAAAACCTGGTTCAATGACCGTGGGATTACTGTGCTTGTGTCAGGATCCAGAGCACCCCCAGGTGTCGCTGGAGCCGAGTCCTGCAGTTCCTGTGCTCGCCTGCGGATGTCTCCAACAGCCAGGAACTGTAAGGAACCTGCAGCTCCGGTACTCACCCGCGGGTGTGCCCCAGCTGTGACTGATCATCCCATCCCCTGGGGCTTCCTGGGAGGGTATTTAGGCCCTCCCTGCAGTCAGGAAGCTGGGTCAGTATTGTGTTGCTAAACCTGACTGATGCCCCTGCCCTGAACCTTGCTTCCTGAACCTTGCTTCCTATCTGAAAACCTGTCACCGACCCGGCTTGTTAACCGACCACTCTCCGTTGAATCCATACCTCAGCAGTGCCACAGGCTGATGGCTTCCATGCCACGCCGCATTGAGGCAGTAATTGCTGCAAAAGGGGCCCAAACCAAGTACTGAGTACATATGCATGCTTATACTTTTCAGAGGTCCGATATTGTTCTATGTACAATCCTTGTTTTATTGATTGCATGTAATATTCTCATTTTCTGAGATTGTGGATTTGGGGTTTTCATGAGCTGTAAGCCATAATCATCACAATTATGACAAATCACAGCTTGAACTATCTTGCTTTGCATGTAATCAATCTATATAATATATTAGTTTCACCTTTTAAGTTGCATTAGTGAAATAAATGAACTTTTGCACGATATTCTAATTATTCGAGTTTCACCTGTATAGATAAACACACAACAGCTTACTCTTACAATAGCTGAAAGCCATAATACATTCAAAATCGAACTTGAGCCAAACAGTTGACGTGACAGTACATATGGAGAGTATGTTACCTGCCAACAGATTTGTAACTATATTCAATCACTTCTGTGATTTTCACATCTCTTCCATAGTTTATAGCTAGAAGGTGAAGCTCTTCAGAGTGTTAAGATTATTTTGTCACCTCAACACATCTAGCCTACACACTACATACTATGAATCAACATCAGAACACTAGTAAGTTCTTTCCAGTAACCTCTTCCTGCTGTAAGCCGGCATAAACTAAAGCTTTCAGTCGCTGAAACAGGTTAGGATAACAGCGCAGAGCAATGCAGTACAATGTCATTGGCTAACGAGAGATTGGCTCAAAGAGATTTCTGTTGGAAAGGGATTATGGGAAGTCAAAATGCAGGGAGATTTCACATAACACTGGCAGTATCTAAAAGTTCATGTAATGATTCAGTGATCACATAAGTTGATTAAACTAGGTTTCTTGTGTTTGCTTGTTTAGTTGTCAAGAAAAACTTTATTGCTAAATGTGATACCGAAACTCTTGGAAACAAAATAAATAAAAAAAATTAACTCTAAATAGCATTTCTGTTTCTTTGCCTAGAGAAGTAGAGGTATAATGTGCCATAGTCAAGAGCATAGCCCTGCTCTCTCCAAGTTATATTCTGGCACGTTACTATGATGGATGGCCTCACTGGCCAAAAGTAGACACAGAAGCTTAGAATGGGGCCGGGCCAGGTTTGTGACTATAGAAGCTGGTAGACATTTCATACCTTAACACCGCAGATTATGTATAAGGTGCTTGATAGGAAAAACTAAAACGACCTGAACTTTTAACAACTTTCAGCGGACTTCATGTTTGCTTTCAATACAAAAAAAAAGGACTGACTGCTTTTGGTTTTTATTAATCTGCATTTTGTTGGGTTGCTCACTTAAATCCAAAACAGTTATATAATATTGCACTAGGGAAAAGGAGACCGAACACATAAATAAGCTGGGAGAAAACACACTACACAAGCCAAAACATTAGACAAGCATTTGTGTGTCTGCATCCCAAAAATTAAACCTGCCTTGGGGTAATCAGAAGTCAAATGTTCATTTTCCAGAGTTGTTCCCAAACATAAAACAATTTTCAGAGTGAAACATTTCAGGAAATGGTTTGTCTACAGACGAAGCGAAACTGCCAACAGTCAACTAAGATGACTTTCTTCCCTTCGTTAAAGCCTTCTGATATAAAATCTACCTTTGCTGTTCTACAGTGGTTCTGACAAATCTGAATTTGTCATTTCCGTGTAACGCCAACACTGTGTCTTAGAAGTTCTGAAGCCATCAAACCATAATCCTGTATAATGTGTTCTCTGAATCTAGAATAGCATTTCAGTGGGGCTTACCTTTACCAGTGAATGAAGACTTTTTTCACCAAACATATCCCAGAGGAAGGTCAGGTCTTCTTGGCTGTCCACATGCGGCTGCAGCTGGGCCGGTAGTGTAGCCAAGAGCTCATACAGACCTATAAAACGAAAATAAAACAGAAAATGTAATCTCATTAATTTCACCTAACAACTCTGTCCAATGGCTTGCCCAACATTCCTCTTTAGGAAAAAAAATTACTCTAGAAAGTATGTAGCTGGACTAAATGTGAAAAGAACACAAGAATAAGACTTTAACAAAAAGGTACATATCTACTTTTATCAATCCAATATCAAAATTATTTTAATTTACTTAATATTCTTCTGTAACAACATTCTTTGTGACTTAATCGCTTTTCCATTTCCACCGAGGCAAGCCAATGACTCACCAAAACGGAACAATTTCCAAAAACGAAATCGGGTGGTCCGCGGAACTGTGACTATACTTACTTTGAAATAAAACTTTTTTTTATTTTTAATTTATAGCTCAATTAAGATTTGTATTTTCAAACGCCCCATAAAAATATATATATATATGTTCCATAGCATCGTTCAAGAAATTAACAATACAGAAGGGAAACAGACGGCAAATATGGAAACACTGCAGAAATGTAAAATATCAGTGTTCAGATTTTTTTTTAAATTTGAGGATTGCTTTCTGTTTTTTAATTTCTGGTAATATGTTAATCTCATCGTACAGTAGCAACTAATAGTTAAAGGCAAGCTTGCAAAGCAAACAGTAGCACAGTGTTCTAAGAGTAGCATACATAGGCAACAACCATCTATCATGCACACAAACTATGGAGCTGCAGTCCAAGAATGTAGCCGCACTGACTGCGTAAGTCTCTACGGGGAACTGACATGTCATGAGACGCTATCAATTCATAGCACATGTTTAATTTTCCAGGGGGATTACTAGAGGTAAAGAGGACAAATCTGCTTTTTTTTTCTGCTCGATGTCTACAAAAACATGAGAAATCTCGGGGGGTCCCCACTACATGCTCCTGCTATTATTTTTAGTCTGGATCAATGTCGCTGTTCATCAAAGAGACAACTTTTACAAGTTGTTGAACCAAAAAAGTCTGGGTAACACGATCAGCTAGAAAAGGATGTTCCAGATTTTGCATGCTAATCTAAATATTGCACCAACGAGATGTCATGGCCAAACCTTCGTGACCCAGTACGTGCCATTAAAAATGTAATTCTATGCTATAAAAACCCACTGTTCCTTATTTGTTTTTTTCATCGGCTGGCATGGGGCATGAATGTCCTTTTGCTAATACATAAACACACGCTCTCCGGTTACACTTGTTTACTGAGGTCAAAGAAGAGATCTTTATCGCAAGCAGCTTCTCAAAATCTTGTTCATAAACTCAGAATATGATACAGTTAGCCCCTTGATTGTAGAGAAACGTCTTTTCAACTCAAAGAAACTAATATATATTTATTATTGCCAAGTGGAAAATAAATGCACATCGTTATTTGCCAAGCAGAGCTGTGGTCTTAGTGGTGATGGGGCGCCCAAAGAACACATCCTGAAAACGGTGCTCACAAGCCTGCCAATTAACAGACATTGCCTTCTGCAATGGAAATGTCCACAGGGTGAGGTTAGGCAACTAGATTTCCAGACCCAACAGAGCAGTAAGATTCAAATATCACCAAGCATTAGCTTCTTATTGTAAGCTACTTTAATGAGCAGGAATTCAGAATTGATAGACTTGTATCCAAGCACTTGGGCAAAGGTTTGGTTTTTGATCATGGGTAGGTAACCTAAAAGTCCGGTTCGAAATGAAAAGAAAAACAACATTGATAATCTTCTAAGTCTACACACTAAGGTCGCTTTCAATCCACTCTATACAACATCAAAGTAAGCAGTCTTTGAGGACATATTATAATCTTTTACAGAGTTGGACTGAGATCTTAAGCAAACTTAGGCCTGGTTCACACCCGGGCATTTTACAGCGCGTTCCTATGCGCTGCAAAACGCTCAACATGTGAAAACCAATAATTTCCTATGGGCATTGTTCCCACCTGGGCGTTTTACAGCGCGTGGGAACACGCTGTAAAACGCCCTACGCCCAGGTAAAAACGCTTGACACATGCGCATATTCCGTACGCCCAGGTGTGAACCCAGCCTTAGGTTCCATTTTGGACCTGTGTAAAAAATGGCCGTATACAGTAACCAATCAATGCACTGGACCTGTAACACCCAACTTAAGTCACCAGCAGGCCAAATTTAATTATTAGGATATGAAATGGTTACTGATTAACAACACCAAAATTGCTGGCTGAAGTCTGTGAACTAACATTAAACCAAAACTAGCAAAAATGTGCATATCTGTTTGAATTAGTCAGAATATATGTATCTCTGTGCCATGGTGCCATCATAACTCCGGTTATCTTATTTATCAATTAATGGGATGTATGTATTGTAAAGTGATGCAATTAAACTCTTTAACCTGAACGTGTCATGAGAAAAATCACATGGTTACCATTGCCAGCCTCCTTCCGATAATGCTAGTTGCCTGGTTGTTATACTTTCTCAGTTACTGATCTAGAACAAGTATGCAGATCAAGAAAGTCAAAGAAAAAGCTAAGAATTGAAGCCTCACACTAGAGCAGGGGTAGCCAAACTTTGGCCTTCCAGTTGTTGTGAAACTACAAATGCCATCATGCATCTGCCTCTGTAAGTCATGCATGTGGCTTTCAGAGCCACAAAAAAAACAATACCCCCATCAGAGGCAAGCACTATAGAAATATACATTTCCAATAGTCCTAATGAGTATAAATGTACCACGTGGCACATTTATACTCATATTACACACAAATGCAATGCCTAATGGGATTTGTAGCTTCACCATAGCTGCAGGGCCTAATTATGGCTACTCCTGCCCTTGAGTGCTGAAATCCAAAACAAGTTTAATTCAATCATAAAGTCAAGCAGAATGTGTATAAATGCTCAACACATTTTGGAGGACTTAAGGTATTTGATCACAGGTCTGCTCATGGACAGCCTCAGCCATCAGCTGCCTATGAGCATGTTTGACAGTGGATGACACCAACCCACTGATAACTCTCCAAAATTCCCCACCATTTCTTCTTCTATCTCAGCCAGTATTTCTGGGTGTACAGTAACATGTGACCACCTTCCCTGATGCAATGTTCAGGCCCAGAAGCAAATCGCCTCATGATATAGAAGGCCACTGCACTGCTTCCAACAATGGAGGGGCAGATTTACGCAGACACTTTGACCCTAAACAAGCAAGTTGTAGTGTCTCTGTTAAGCAAAACCTGGGATGGCATATACACACGAGATCTGCCATTGCAGTCTTATTTTCATAGGTGCAGGCTATACAGTTGTCATCCTTAGTAAGTGACCATAAATAAGCATACAGGAGGAGAAATTAAACTTTTTAGACTACACTGGCTGCATACTTCTTCCAGGTCACGAGTCGTTAAGCACTGAAGAAGGAATAAGGACCTTGAGGCGCCATTCACACGAGGGGTTTTCCGAAACGCTCTAAACATAAAAAACAGTGCATTGCAAAGTGCATTCTTCAGACTATTACGGCATCCACGCGGTACGAAACTAGGCGTCCAACAAAATAGTCCGAACTCGATTATTAGCTGCCAATGCACGGAATCCACGCGCATGTAAAAGTTTGCACAGAAAACAGTGCGGAAAATGGCAACGCCATATGTGAATGAAGCCTAAGTCTTAAAAAACAATTCAGCAATGACAGCCTCCATAGGTTCCCTTGAAGTGGAAAACCATGGAAAATTTAGTGTCATGTTTCAATTTGCTAAGAAAGTACACGTGGGAGTAAAACCACCAATCATTACAACTAGGCTGTCAACCTTCTGTTCCTATTTTCTGATATCACATGAAAGTGAAACTGCAGCAGACAATATAAATATTTATTTCATCCTTAGTGCCCCGATGTTTAGAAAACTTACAGTCTATGAGATTTGTGAATAGTTTAAAATTATCTGTCCTTCCCTAGCATCTGTTTAGCATCAATCCGACATGGTACGGCAGATTCCGAAACCTCCTCAATGCAAATGACTGCAAATTATTGTCTTCTACTATCCATTTTGCTGGGCATGACATGCAATCATACCCGACCTGTCAATCATCTTTAATGTGATGAGGAACATCTGGAACCTGGGCACTTTTGTTATTACTGAGTCAGCGTTCCAAATTTAATGGATGTCTGAGTGTGTCTATTTACCTATAGATGCTGGAGGTGATTGATGCATGGATGTGTAGCATGCATAATTACACAGAAATGCAGACAAAGCTTAGACAGGAGGAACATGGGTTATCCCAGGCACTGGAGCAGTAGTTGAAAGTGACTGTAGAACTAGGTAGTGGCTCTTAATAGGTTATTACTGTACAGACAACAAATACAGCATTGTACAGTGTCCCTGGTTGTAACAACCTTGAATCAAGTGATTAAAGGACTATGAAAATGTTGAACAAAAATATATCCAAAGCAGACACAGAAGATTTATATCAGTTGTATGTAATTGCAGTATGTTTACTTAACCACGGGTAAAAGAAACAGATATCTACACACATGCTGGGCTTTTTTTTATTTTTTTTTACCACAATCATACAGCAATTTGATATAAGGGAGAGCTAATGTAATTAATGGACCTTGCTTTTTATAATACAAGCTCCGTTGGAGGAGTTTTAGGCAACACACAAAATTAATTGTTGAAACGGTAAAAAAAAAACAAGACAAAAAAAAATGAGACAAATGCTCTTATGTCACTTTCCTACGTGGCATTTTGGACTAGTAAGGAAAAAAAAAAAAGTTAAAATCCATATAACTGAAGTTGTCCCGTTGCAGCTCTGCTTGAAAAGAAAAAATCTGGAAACCAAAAATCACAAAAGTTCTGTCTGCCTACCAAGTGGACACCTTTATTGTATAGTGCACTTCAGGTGCAGTAAATGTACATTTATATGTCTACTAAAATAAAAGAGTACAAGAACCTGGAGGAACATTCACCGCGGTTATATACACAGTAGTAATAGAAAGAGAATCTATTATCCACCCGACCGGCACTGGTGTTCCTGTTAATAAACTATGCCCAG